TTGTAGACAAACCACAGTTTTAATAGACCGTGTTTAGTTCTTGTCATAAGTCAATTTTGTCTAACTCTTAACCACCTGGCCCACATGTCATACACTCTATTTTCTTGCCAAACATTGGCTAAGCTTAGTTTGTTATTTTATTTGCCACAAAAGTATGACAAAACTAAACTTAACTATCTTAGTTAAAAATGTGTGGCAATATTAGTCCCCAGCCAAGCATCTTCTTGATGGCCGGCTGCCCTATCCCGACATGCCATGAAGTTTTGTGCGATCTTGATTTAAAATAGAATATTTAGAGCAAGTTTAATAGTATAGCCAACTACTAGCTTCAATTTACTTATAGCCAATATAATAGCTCATTCATACAACAGTTACATAACTGGTCCCACCTGTCATATACACACTATGTCTTAAAGTCCGTGCTACAACTGGTTACAAATCTATAGCCCGCTGTTCTTCTCTCTCCTTATTTATCTTTTTAAAATATGTTTATAGCTGGCTTATAGCATTATAGCCTGCTATTGCACATGCTCTTATCGACCATTGTTCGGCAAGCGGCGCGGGCGGTGGGAACTGAGAACGCAGGAAGAAAGGCGATGGACGAGGTGGCGCATGGACGACGTCCAGAGACCAGAATGAGTTGGTCACGTTTGTAGGTGGTCTGTTCCTTGGGACTAGCAAGTGGGAACATGTGTGCGGTGCGGTGTGCCGCTTTCGTCAGAGTCAGGTACCCGCTGCCTGCCGAACAAACAGGCAGCCACCCGTGCGTGCTGCTGATGCATGCATGCTTCCTTGTGATAGATCCGAAAGTATTTGATGGCCATGCTAAACCGGGCACTTTTCTTCAAACCCACTGTTTTACAGCAACGGGTCAGTACTAGTAAAAGGGAAATAATTAGGTTCCAGCTGTAGATTATGAAATGGGATCAAGGTAAATCAAGGAACTATATGAGTTTACGATGTAATATTCTCTTCGTCCCCGTTTTCTTGTCACTGTGACCAAAAATGTTTTAACATTGATTATTAGTATTTTTAAAAATCAATTCATAATTAAAGCTGAAATAGGTAGTTTTGTTTTTTTTTAAAAAACAATTTACAACTAACTTGAAATCCATAGTTTGGTGATAAATTTGGTGCTAGATCTAAAACCTATAATTTTATTATAATTTAGTCAAAGTATGTACTACTGGTTTTATAAACTTTATTTAAAAATAAACTATTTTCTCTACAACGGTAAAGGAGCAGCATAGGCATCCACATACTGCAGTTCAATTCACAACCACTCCCAATTTTTTTTTAAAAACACCACATAAGAAAAAAAAAACGCATGTAACAATACATCTTCTAGATTAGTATATTGCAAAGTACAGGTATAGAGGCCCTGAGGAGGAAAAAGGTCATCTTGGGTCCACTTCCCAGATTAGTAGATGAGTCGGTTCACTGAAAATGGGATTGATTGATCGCGAAAGAGCCTGTAGGCTAGTGGATACAAGAGTCTCAGTAGCACCTGAGATCCTGGATTCGTTCCAGGATTTAACGGCGTTGTGCTTTCAGTGGTAGGCGACGTACCCGTCGACAGCGAGACGCCTGTGATAACTTTGTCAATCTTTCTAGAATTTGCCGGTCCAGTCTTCGAAGATGCTCATAGGGGTAGGTTTGCGTGCGTGTGTTCATAGGGGTGAGTGCGCGTGCGTTGTGAGTGTTTGCATTGTACTGTGTAATTCTTAAAAAAAAAAGAAAATGGGATTGATCATATGAGCGCGAGAGATAGATAATTGTGCTTGGATTCGTTGCGTGCGCGTTAATCCGCTGTTTGACTGAATATAGGCCGGCCGGTCGTCGTCATCCCATATCCTTCCCGTTGTTGTTGTTGTTGTTTTTTCGGCCCCCATAGCTGTCAGCAGAAACGGTACGTACGTCCGTGCACGACCCATCCGTGTGAGCTGTGCCGTGCACGGCTGCTGGGTTTGATTGCTTTGGCATGTTTAATTATTAATAAGTTATTAGAAGAAGAAGAAAAATAATTAAACAGTGACGTCAAGCCGTCAGCACTGCAGGTGCGTGCTTTTGATCCGTTGCTGCTTCAATTGTCCATTGAGGTATGGGCATCGCAGAGTGTTGGGTCGTTACCATCCGACCGGGAGTGCCGACTTGTAGTGAAGTGGGAGTAAACCTGGGAAACAAAAAGAAGTAGGAGTAAAACCTTTGGTACACACCGAGCAATATTCCTTTCTGTGGGAGTGTACGTCCGGGAGCAGCACAGGATGGCCGGATTGTCATGTTTGTATAATGGAAATTGCTATGCGTCCCACTCATAGTACAACTTACATCTGACTAGTGTATATGTAGGCATAGATGCTGCTTGTTTGGGTACACATGATAAGAAATAAGCTCACTAATGTATATGTACGCATAGATGCTGCTTGTCTGAGTACACATGATAAAAAATAAGCTCAGTGATTGGACACGAGTTGGATGGCTCGGCCGTATGTATAGCAGGAATGAGTGCAATAAAATATGTAGCTTTCACATTGCTCCAGTCGGTCTACGCCATCACGAAAGCAGACCAAGTTCGACCCAACAATCTATTTCCCCCGTTACTTGTAGATCCGCAGAGCATGTACTCCTAATTAAAGAACTCTTTACTAATTTTTAGTCCTAGCTGCAATAGTCGATCGGTGTTTCTCCCTGTCGAAGTTTGTACATAGCATGATAGTACTCGTGCATAGTAATATAGACAAATACATATTCAAATTCATTGTACTAATAAATATTATATTTTATTATGGATTAATTTTTTATGGGACGGAGGGATTACCTATACTACAGTACAGGTAACGTGGGCCGTTCTCCAAAACATGCAGCAACGGGAAACGATCAACCATCGATATGATTCCTGGCCAAAAAGAATCATCATCGGTATGCATGATTGCGCATTTGCGCTATCGCTCTCAGCAGCACACTCCCGAAGCCGCGAACCAATTAAGCCGCCACTGCACAAGCATCAGCGCGTTCCGATCGTTGTCAATTTACTGCATATACACACACCATATATCTTTGCATAAAAGGCGGAAGGCAAAAGCAAAGCGAGATATGGTAGCCATTTTATCGTGTGGGCCACGGTATTATATACAAGACGATTGTTCCTCTAGTTGGTGGCATGTCATTGTCACCCTTGAATCCTCGCTTTCCGTTCGTTTTCGGCGATCATCGTGGACTCGTGGTGGACGGATGCCCGCGTTCTTGCGAATAGTACCACTCCAGGCAACCGGCCCATCACGATAATCAGAATTCTGTTTCGGCCTAGCAGTACGTTGGTGAGAAGGAATCCCGTCCCGGCCCAACGAAATCCTCCAAAGCAAGACACGCTGCTTCCGGCCCAGTAGGGGACCAAGGCGTGGCATCGTAATTCAGTTTTGTCCATGGGCCGTTGAGTCAAGCTTCGATGGCCCAGATCGTCTGTGAACGAGTGGCGGAGAGCTGGTGCTGGGCTTATTTTCGTCAGGAATAAGTTCACCAGAGGTCCCTTAACCACGATACGAGAAATGTGTACCCCTAAACTCACACAAACCGTGTACTCAAGATCCTATGGCAATATATATGGGTGGTTTCGCTAATGTGGCATCCTAATACCACGTGCAAAAGTGCCTGTGCGTTGCAACGGGAAGAAAGGACGAGAAAATTGAATTAAAACATATTAAATACTAATTAATTGAAATACAACGTCTGATCTGATCAGTTCTACTCGACCAGATTTATAGTGTCGCTGAACGAGTAATCCTAAATGTACATGAAACCTGTGGAGGAACATGAATAATTAATTTGTGTTGTCTCAATTAATTACATAGTTAAACAGAAATAATTCCTGAATTACATCACTGTTGGCGTAAATAATTAAGAAACATAAACATAAATGAAATTTATACGAATTTATAATCTAACGTTAGTTGGAAAATAAATCCATATCATGAGAAAAATCTAGCCAAATTTTTAGTTTGTTCAATTTAGCTAGAAATTAATAAGCAGTCATAAAAATGGTACTAATGCTATTTCTAAAAAATAGAAAGATGCTTAAAATTACTGTGAGAGAGGAAATACTGATTTTAATCTAGCCCAAACTCGGGGCCTTCTTCTATGATAGATACGTGCGGCCCATTTGGCGGCCCAATAGTCCGTCGGCCCGACACGGGAGAAGCCGGAGCCTTATATTTATAGGAGGGGTGGTCTTACTTCTTTATAGCTCTTGCCATGTTCAATTAGACTTAAAAATCAACTAGAACTCGAGAAATCTTAATATCAAACAAGAAAACACGATAAATAACTAAATGGACTCGAACTCTATGCTTAAAGTCTGACCGCCCGAGCACCTGCGGTTTGACCACATGTCATTGTTCGGTGGCCACACAATGGCGGTCGGACCGTCCTTTATGGGAAAGACTCGGTAGTTTTCGAATTTGGCAATAACTTGCTATATATATATATATATATATATATATATATATATATATATATATATATATAGGACACTCATATGGAGCACCATGGTGCCCGGGCACCATGGTATCAAATGCACAAAATCACTCAAATTTTTCAAAATTTTCAAATTGTGAGTATATACCTAGTTATAATAATTCGATTTATACCTATACCTATCAACAAAACAACTCAAATTTAACTTTATTTCACAATCCATGATTACATACCTAACTAATTATATGTATGGATGCTATATACCTAGAATTAAAATCTAACAAAAACAAGTTCAAATTCAGTTCAAACTTGCTTTGAACTAGTTAGTAAAGTGGTTAATGTTAATACCTAAGTAATTGAAAAAGATTCATACTCATTTGAATTGGGTATATACTCAATTTCAACAATGGTGCCCGGGCACCATGGAGCACCAAACAAATTTACTATATATATATATATATATATATATATATATATATATATATATATATATATATATATATATATATATATATATATATATATTCAAATTTACAAATCATCTTCCTTAATAAATCCATGAAGCATTTACAGATCCATCAACAAATGAAATGAATTTACTATGTATAAATCCCATTATTAACAAATGAAATGAATGATGTATAAACACCTAAACCAATCAAGTGAACTGAGCATGATTTACAGCACCTATGTGTATATACACGACACGCTGCAAGAACACTACTTGTACTGCAGATCGATGGATGCGCGCGCTCTGATGGAGCTAGCGGAGGGATCAGCAGATAGCAGCTGGTTTAGGCGTTCATCATGATCTTGAACTCGTCGAAGCTGAGGACGCCGTCGCCGTTGAGATCGAACCTGCAGATCATGGCGCGGCAGTCGTCGATGTCCTGGTCGGAGCCCAGCCGGCGCAGCATCCGCCTGAGGCTCGTCGGCGTGATGCACCCTTCCCCTTCCATCTCGTACATGCCGAACGCCTCCCGGAGGCCGGTGCCCCGCCGCTCGTCTTCCTCCTCCACCTCCGCCGCCTGCACCAGCCGCACGAACTCCGCCTCGCACAGCAGCCCGTCGCCGTCCGCGTCCACCGACGCCACCAGCTGCCCCGCCTCCTCGTCCGACACCTCCTCCCCGAGCGTCGTCTTCATGCACAGCCGCAGCTCCGCCGCGGAGATCCTGCCGTCGCCGTCGTGGTCGAACGTCGCGAACAACGCACTGGACTCGCACGGCGATGCTGCTGATGCAACAACCATTGTCGATCGATATATCGAACTGATCGATCTGGTTCTGATCCTTAAGCGGATGAATTCTGCTTGCCTTCTTTGCTAGAATAATGGAGCACTACTTGCACGGACGTTGCTTGCGAATTGTGGTGAACGAGCCATTGCGTGCATATATATGCGGCCATCCACGCGGGAAAGAGTTAAATTTCGAAGCTTCACGGCAAGGCGAGAGAGATGCGGTCGTCGTCGTCGTCGCCATAGCCGCCCGCGTGCATATGCCGCGTTTTTTAGTCCACACCGGTGCCCCAGATCTAGAAAAAAAAAAAGGAGGGTCGCGAGTCGCGACGACTTGAATTGTGAACAGGAGTAGTTTGGAGGCATGGCAATTAGGCCTGGTTTAGGCAGTACGATTTACGTGGCGTGTGCGCGCGTACGTCCGGGATGACGGCGCGGTCAGTGGGCGACGTTGGTGCTTCCGTGGAGGCTAAAAACTAGCTAGAGGCAGGAAGAGACGGGGAAATTGTCGTGTGGTAAGGGAGAAATTCGTTTTTGTTGGCGTGTTGGGTCCGACTTGGCGTTGGCCAAGTGTTGATGGGTCACTGTCTAAGGTGCTCGCTCGTCCGATTGGCTGAGAAGCTTCTGCCGCGCGGAGCGAAGATATTTACACGTGGACGTCATTTGGGTCGCTGTAGCTGAATAGTGTAGTACTACCTCTGTTTTAAATTAGTAGACGCTTTAACTTTTTTATTGTAGTGTTGATCATTCGTCTTATTTGAAAAATTAGTGCAAATATAAAAACAGAGAAGTCATACTTAAAGTACTTTTGATAATAAAGCAAATCTAAAAAAAATAATAATTTCATAATTTTTTAAATAAGACGAAAGATCAAAATTGACAAACAAAAACTTAAAGTGACAAAAATTCTGGGACGGAGGTAGTACTTAGTACTCATCCGCAGTAGTTTTATTTGAGTGAGTACAATAAGACGATATTAGCGGACTGTATAAGTTGTCACATTTTATTTGTACTTATGTAAAAAAAAGAAAAACGAACTACAGATTTATAACCAGCTGCAGCACAAGCTCCCATAAACTATATGATAACGATGAGTAAATTATGTATTAATTAATAATGGAATGTATATCTACAATTAACTATTGTATGAGTGAGTTTTTAGGTTTGCCTATAAATGATATTTTAATTTTTTGAGCCAGTAGTTGATTATATCAAATAAACTTGCTTTAAAAGGTTTTAGTTGACGCATGCGATTCTGAAGGGGGGAAAAAGGCACTAGCGATATTTTATCTAGCCTTTGGCGATTGTATTTTCTTGCAAAACTGGACATTCTGAATTAGTCACGAGGGGTATTTTTTATGCTGGTTACTGAGTTTCCGTCAAAAGAGAAGAAAATAAAATATTGTAGCTTCATGAAGGAAATTTGCATGGGACCATGTTGGGCTTGTTCAATTTGTTCCCGAAATTAATCTTAGTAAAAATTGCCAATATCATTTTTAGCACGTTTTGACATTATCAAATTATTTTGATAATGTTAGATGTATTTAGTTTGGAGCTTTCTAAATTTTGGTAGTATTTTTATGAGAAAAATCTACAATCTACGCAATACAAAGATAAGGTCATGTTTAGTACTATGTTATTCTACCAAAATTTGATAGTATTGAAATTGACAATAAAGTTTACAGGCCCTTATAACCGGTGTTGTCCCTTGCTAGGCTACCCTTTTATTTCAGAGCAACGGATGAGACATCATTCATGCTTACAACAATTCGAGTATCCCTATCCGAACCTGAAAAGGACTAGTCGCAACTCTGCAGCATCCAACATAAACTGGATCAGAGTTTTCACAGCCGCATACGCATATTACGCGGCCGGTGATGGTTTACGCGGCGACTGGGCCGGCGAGGTAAACAGTGTAGACGTCAGCACGCGTATATGAGAGGTGGGGGAAGCGTGAGGGAAGAGGAAGAGGCGGCGGCGATGACGCGTGGCGCTGCTGGGCGTTGTGCCTGGTCAGGTCTGTGTCCCTTTCCGAAACAGAGTACAAAAACTTCACCATTGTACAAAAACGTCGTAGAAGAAGAAGAGAACTAGTGCCGGTGAGAGAGACGCGAGCATGACGAAGGCGTCTCGGCCGCGTGCGCGTGCCTATGGGCACGCGATCAACCCTCCAAAGGCTCCGAGTGGCCGCCGACCCGCCGTCGCCGCCGCTAAGAAAAGCAGAACTTCCGTTTTTCATACCTCTCCTCAACTCATCATACGATCAATTTGTTGGCGATCTCGCTCTCCGACCCACGCAAACCCAATCGAGGCAGCTGCATGGTCGCGGGGCGCAACAGGCGACGGAGCTCCTGTTCAACGCCACCGCGTCAGCCGCCCTCAATGTCTCGTGCTCGCGGCCGTCCGGGCCCAGACCACCGCATCCTATAAGGCCATAAGGCCCGAGGCCCAATGGCCCGACCATTTGGCCCAGCCCAAACACGGCACGGCATGATCCGATTGGGACCGTGCCCGGGCCGGTCCGACCTGATAGCTGGGCCGTGCCTTGGCACGGTGGGCCGGCCCGATCCAATGAGGAGGGAAGGAAAAAAGTTTAGGATCAAAAATTAGACTTAATGCAGCCATATAATTCACGGCCCAAGAGAGAAGGGATGCAAAATAGACTTATTACAATCATTAAGACATGGCCCAAAGAAATGAGGGATGAAAATTAGACTTTTTTATAAAGAAGCACGATGGGCTGTCGTGCCTTCGGGCCAGCCTAGCACGGCCCGAGTTGTATTGGGCCGATGCTTCAGCACGTGGGCCGGTACGGCATGGCCCGGTGTGTTGGTCGGGCCATGCTGGCCTGAGCACGGCCGTGCATGGGCCGTGCCGTCCAGATGGCCATCCGCATCCATCGCACTCTATGCATCCGAAATTACAATTCTACCCTTATACCGTCAAAAGTCAGTAATGAGGCATCCTAACTATTAGATTACTGTAATGACGGCTAGGATATGGTATCGTCTCTACCCAAGAAATTTCAAAACCTTTGCAAATTGTTTAAGATGTTTGAAATTTACAACTATCTGTGTTCAAGTTTGAATTTACAGCTGTTCACACGATCGTAATGAACAGATATATGTTTTTTTAGGGAGTGAACGCATATCTGTTCAATCTATATATTCCGCAAAAGGAACGATAGATAGTGGGAATGAACGAACGTTAACATATCGAGTAATTTTATCATTTTTAAGAAGATATTTAGAGGTATTAAATTTTATAATAAAAATATTGATACTAAAAACATTAGCGTAAAATTTAGGTATTTACACATAAGTGCTATGGCATCTTGATCAAAAAACATTAGCGTAAAATTTAGGTATTTACACATAAGTGCTATGGCATCTTGATCACCTAGCTAGATGCATGCATGTTGTTTAAACAATTATATAAAAAAAATATAAAATTTGATAAAATATATTATGATAATATAATACCCTATACGAACACACAAGTCTAAATTCGATGCCACATGGAAACTAAAATAACAAAAAAAAAGTTATACATGTATTATTCACTTCCTGATTTTATTATTTTTTAGTGGATAATAAAGTCTACATCGTTGTAGATAAAATATAGTCTTGAATGATATCTATAGATTTATATCATCCCAACCAATTGATGTTATTAAATTTTTTATAACTATTTAATTCACATGAGAATGACGGATACCATAGCACCTAACCTGAGTGTACAAATTCCCTGTCTACCTGAAGGTAACTATAAAATTCCTCATATTACATAGGAGTATACAATAAGATTAGCAACAACGATGATGGCCGGCCGGCACCATCTCATTCCATCAGGCCATCATCATAGTCTTGAACTCGTCGAAGGTGAGCACCCCGTCTCCGTTCATGTCGAACCTGCAGATCATGGCCTGGCACTCTGCAACGTCCAGGTGCGTGCCCAGCTTGCTCAGCATCAGCTTCAGGCTCAGCGGCGTGATGCATCCTCTCCCTTCCATCTCGTACATCGCAAACGCCTCCCTTAGGCACCTGCACGTCTCGTCGTCGTCGTCTTCTTCCTCATCACCATCCGCCTCCATTTCTGTCACCAGCCTCACGAACTCCTCTTCGTCCAGCAACCCGTCGCCGTCGGTGTCCGCCAACGCCATGAGCGCCTGCACCTCCTCGTCCGGCATGTCCTCGCCGAGGGACGCCTTCACGCAGAGCCGCAGCTCGGTGGCGGAGATCTTGCCGTCGCCGTCCTGGTCGAACGATCCAAAGACGCGCCTGAACTCGTCGGAGGCAACCATGTTCGCCTTTCACTTAACTAGATCAAATTATCAAATTAGGATTGATTATTGAGACTTGACACTTGGGTTTGTTAGCTAGGAAGGTTGGTGTTTGAGAGTTCATCTTAAGCTCTGGTATTTATTGTTGAACATCTAGGCAATGAGGAATGAGCACACTAGGAATGCTATCAGGTCAAGTTCAGCAATCAGATTAAACAATGGGAATTACAATAGCAAGTAAACCCTTTTGCGTCAAAAAAAAAAGTAAGCTTTCTTTGACTTGGAGAGATGACAGCACTTTTAAATAATTGTACATGATTTACCCAAAACAAAAAAAAATGCAGATGAATGTTGAACAGAGTTCTGTCCTATCTTTGTCAAAAAAAATAAAACAAAACAGCATGCAGTCATATAATATCCCTTCCAGTAGGCCTTCCAACGAAATGATCCACTGCAAGAACTTTCATACATAGTGACACATGTACATACCGTGGATTCGAACATTCTCTACCTACTTCCATAAAAGTTGGATTCCACACATGATCGATAAGACCAAGCATAATGGAACAAACTAACGAAAATGACCTCGTCAATGCGGCCGGCTGATGCTATTACTCACCACACGTCAAACTCTTGGGACATTACAATATACAAGTAATAATTTAGTATCAACAGCAAGCCAGAAACTGATCACACGCGACGAGGTCCTTTTCCCTTTCTCTTGGAATTGGCTGGCGTTGCTCGTATAAACTATTGCTACTAATCGTTCAAGGAAGCCTCCTATTAATTGACACTATCGATTGACTAATTCCGTCAGTCTTCAGTAACCAACCATGCCTAGCTTGAACTGATCAACAAATCATGCTGAAATCTTGTATATATAAACACAACTAGTTAAGCACGAGAGGTATTGCATTGCAGCATCTCCTTCCAATATTCAGAGGCTACGTGTGTCGAGTACATTGCAGTTCTGAACATTTTAGGTTGCAACTGGAGAAGATGGTGGCCGCGACAGCCGAGTTCAGGCGAGTGTTCTCCGCGTTCGACCGCGACGCCGACGGCAAGATCTCGGCGGCGGAGCTGCGGCTCTGCATGAAGGCCGCGCTCGGCGAGGACATGTCCGCCGAGGAGGCCGAGGCGCTCGTCTCGTCGGCGGACACCGACGACGACGGGCTGCTCGACGAGGAGGAGTTCACGAAGCTGGCGGTGCAGCTTGAGATGGGAGACGAGGAGGAGAGGTGCAGGGGACTAATGGAGGCGTTCCGGATGTACGAGATGGAAGGGGAGGGGCGCATCACTCCGGCGAGCTTGAAACGGATGCTGAGCAAGCTCGGATCGCATCAGGGCATCGAGGAGTGCCAAACAATGATCTGCAGGTTTGACCTCGATGGAGATGGAGTCATCAGCTTTGAGGAGTTCAAGATCATGATGGATGCATAGCAGATCGATGATATGATGTACCGCTTGTTAATTAGTTCAATGTATGATCATTGTATGATTATATTTCCATCTGTTCATTCGTTCATGAATTTAGTATCCCTAGCTTCTCACTAGTAACATGTTTTTACAGTCACTAGTACTGTTATTGAGTAATATTACCTCCGCTCCTAAAATATAACAACTTTTGGCTATGTATCTGGATACATAGTTGTCCAGATTCATAGCTAAAAATGCTTATATTTTGAGAGGGAGTGAGTAATTGAACACGAATAAAGTATGTCCTAACAAAAAGAAAGGAAAACATGAAAAAAAACCGTATAAACAAAATGTTGTGCACACATACAGTTTTTTTTTTTTTAAAAAAAGTTCTGTTATGAAATGGCTTTCATTTCCAGGTTCCGCAGAATATCGTGTAAGATAAACAAGGTTACCAGCCGGATTCCATGTCTGTCCTTTGGGCTGTGTTTTTGCTTCCCTTGTGAGTTGTGACCTTGCTCCATGTAGAGGCCATGCCATTGTCATTGTCCTCCAACACAAGGAACAATGGAACATGGCTATCCGCCACATATATAAGCCAGACAGGCCAGAAGATCAAAGAGATCATGGCCGGACCAAAACATGGTTGTGATGCCAAGAAACTTAACGAGTAAGTTTGGTGATCGAACTGCATGCATACGGTCGATCGATCTCAACTAAAACTCTGGTTAATTTCTGAGCTTCAGGGTCCTTATTTGGTGGTACATTCATTCGACATATATGAATTCATGATGCTACAAAATGCATGCTGTTTTTCTGCAGAATGCTTAGGGAGGAACGGGGACAGTTGCGGTACAAGATAGTACTCCGTCCTTCCCTAAATGTTTGACGCGATTGACTTTTTTAAACATGTTTGACCATTCGTCTTATTCAAAAAAATTTGTGAAATATGTAAAACTATATGTATACACAAAAGTATATTTAATAATAAATCAAATGATAGAAACAAATTAATAATTATTTAATTTTTTTAATAAAACGAATGATCAAACATGTTTTAAAAAGTGAACGGCATCAAACGAGAGTAGTACCAAGGCGAAGAAGAGAAGGGCCTGCTTCAGTGCAGGGGCAGGTGAAGGTGAAGGGGTGGGAGATCGTGATCAGGGGCGAGATCACCTCGGACGACATGGCGGCGGCCATGGGGTTGGTCGTGGGTTCTCCGTTCTGCGCGCTCGCCGCGAAGAGGGTGATCTTGCCCGGCCTCGGCTGCCTTTCCGACGATGCCGTGATGGCCGCTGCCACCTCCGCCTCCGTCGCTTCTCACTACTTCATGTCTTCAAGACGAAGCAGCACTGCAGCAGCTAGCTTAACTCAATAATAACTGCATTAGCAAACTTGTTCAAAACACTAGTACTGTATATGATGTATGATATATCCAACTTTTATTCCGTAGAAGTAAAAAAAAAAAAGAGAGAATGCTACACACTGTTAATTTGGGTGCTTCCATATGCTTCCACTTGAAGATATTACTGATCCTTGATGCCATTTTGGTACGAGTCATGTACTCATGTATGCTTTTAGCATTTATACTGTTATGGTCTTTATCACTGAAGGATTGTTTTGATCTATCAGATTACGGTTGCATTCAGAAGTGACAGATCGAGTGTCAAATTAGAACACTTAATGCTCATATGCGCCAGCAAGACTCTGCTGCCGAATGCTCAATCTTTTTCACACAATGAATGTTCAATGTTGTAACCTCAATTTATTCAGGTTAGACTTCATCCGTGCTTTCCAATTATTTTAAACATGTTCCCTTACTTCATTTGATTCCTTGATTGCTGCTGTAGGAAAAATTGTTGCAGCAAGACGTGCATGAAGATGAATCAAGGCTCAACTATGAAAATTCAGTCCGGTAAGAAGAGTGTCCCCCACTCAAACAAAAGCACTGGTTTTCCAAACTGGCCAGGTTTGTCCTGACCTTTTTATCTTATGCCTTGTTTAGTTGGGAAAATTTTTTGGGTTTGGTTATCACATCGGATATACGGACACATATTTAAAGTATTAAACGTAATCTAATCTCTACTATTATAAAAATTAAAGATGTTTTTGTCAGTACTTTGGTAAGTCATCCGTGTGTGAGTTGGTTTTTAAGTTCAATCGCTTTTGGAAATACATATTGTATTTAAGTCGGTAGCCATGTCCTAACAAAAAACAGAGGAAAACATGCATTAAATAAAACCAGACAACCCAAATGAACTGTAATGTTTACAACTATCCAATGAGCGTATGGAATCAACAGGCATAATATTAGTCCACATTGTTGCTTGTGTCCAAAGTTTGTGCATACAAATTTTAGTTCCTTTTGTTAGGAAATGTCTTTGATTTCCATGTAAGAGAATATCGTGTAAGCTAAACAAGGTTACCGGCCGGATTCCTGTCCTTATGTACCTTTTTGATTGCCTTCTGACCTTACTCCCAGTAGAGGCAATGCCATTGTCATTGTCCTACACAAGGAACATGGCTATGCGCCACATATAAATGTACAGTCTCTCCAGCTCTCTCCTAGTGTCAGGACAGAAGGCCCCATCACCATCTGTGCATTTTGTCCACAACCACGAGAATGGAAGGAGATAATCCTGAGGCGAGGAAAGGTATGAATATGGTGAGCTATTTTTGGGTGATGATGGGTGGCTTGTTTTCTTTGTCAAATCGTTTTCACTGTCGATCACGTAATCATGTCTCCTGTGGAACTATGCTAACTGAAGAGACTTGCAGCTTTTCGGTTGCCATTGCATTTCGAGTTTTTTTTGTCGGGATGACCGAAGGAGGTCATCCATTGCTGCTGACAGCTGCATTTCGAGTTTTATGAGATATATAACTTTTAGAGTAAAGTCCATCACCGGTCTCTAAACTTGTACCGCTGTATCATCCCGGTCCCTAAACTCGCAAATTGACTGTTCAGGTCCTCTTCGACTGTGTTATCCCGGTCCCTAAACTTGCAGATCACTCGTTTAGGTCCTCCAAATTATTCAGTTGTGTCACCCCGGTCCCTAAAATTGGATTTGAATATCATCTGAGTCAAATAGGATGGTTTAAAGACTTTATATTTAGAAATAATTCATAACTTTTTCATGTGAACTCTAATGAAGACAAAATTTATATCAAACTTGTAGCCCTCGACGCGATCTACAATTTGTAGTTAATTTTTTTTTATTTTAAGTCATTTTTTCCCAAAATGTAATTTTAAAATTAACATTTCAAAATCTATAAAAATGCAATAATATTTTGGGACCCTAAACAGTTTTAATTCAAAAACTTTTCAACTACAAAGTTGTAGGTCGCGTCGAGGGCTACAATTTTGATATAATATTTGTCTTCATTAGAGTTCATATGAAAAAGTTATGAATTATTTTTTGATATAAAGTTTTTAGACCGTCCTGTTTAGGGAACGGGTGACATAGCTGAACAAGTTGGAGGATCTAAACGAGTGATTTGTAAGTTTAGGGACCGCGATAACACAGTTGAACAAGTTTGAGGATCTGAATGGTCGATTTGCGAGTTTAGGGACCGGGATAACACAACGGTACAAGTTTAGGGACCGGTGATGGACTTTACTCTAACTTTTAAAATTGAAGTAATGAGATTTTCAATCTAAAAGATGAAGACCGGATTCAGACTGCCCTGGAGAGCGAGAAGGATCAGAGTCCTCATCAGGCTGTCGTGAAGAGCGAGAAGGATCAGAGCCAGGCTGCTATGAAGAGTGAGAAGGCTGATACGGAGAAACTCATTCAGTTCATGGAAGCAAATTATGAGAAGTATGTTGCTAATGTAGATTCCTTCGAAGATTTCTACCATGCCATCGTTGAGCTTATCGAGTAAGTTCGGTGACCACCTGCAGTCTCAGAAAAAGAAAAGAAAAATACGTGTACATTCAGTTCAGCTGCACTCACATTGTTAACAAATTTTGTCATCTTCAGAAAGTTTTGCGAGGAGCGCGGCCAGGTGCAGTACAAGATACCGTCGAAAAAAGCCCTGAAGGAAGCGTATGAGGTGAGCAATATTGCTAGAGCATCATCACACAATTACTCTATCCGTTCTAATAAAAACGAATCTAAGTACACACTATAGTATTATAAATCTAGATAAGTATATATTCAGATTCGTTTACATCCAATAATAAATTAGTTTTTTATAAGACCGAGAAAGTAGTGGGTGGAGTGAGTCCAGCTGAGGTGGGTGGTTGTTGTGCGTGCAGAAGCATCACACGGAGCAGGGACAGTTGAAGAGGGAGGAGTTCATCAAGATCGGCAAGGAGGTGATCAGGCGGGACAGCTTCACCCTGGGCAAGGCGACCATGGACTTCATCATGTACCTGTTCGGCGCCCCGCTGTGCGCGCTCGCCGCCAAGAGGATCCTCCCCGGCCTCCGCTGGATCTCCGACGACGTCGCCATCCCTCTCGCCACCTCCGCCTCCGTCGCCTACCTCATCAGGACCAAGCAACTCTGATCAGCCTCCGCGTGTGCGTGTAAATCATGCAGCTCAGAGTCACATCCCCCCAAGTGTTGAAAAGAGAATCGTATTTTAGGAGTAAATAAAAACAAGATAGATAAAGGCAAACACAAGAGGCTGGAGAATCCAAAGTCGCCATCGAGCTAGGGGAGAGAGAGGCGTGGCGTGTGGTGTAGCGAGAGAGGAAGAGGCACGCCTCTCGATAAGCCGAGGCTCGCGGGTAGCGACGAGGTTGGGGCGGCGGCCTGCCGCCGTCCGTCCGATTTGGCGTCTTCCGCTGCTGCCCTCACCGATGACCTCACTCCTCAGTAATGGCCGAGGTCAACACGATGATGAACGGCCGCGGCTGCTGCCCTGTAGATCATCGGGCCCACATGTCATACAGCTGAGCGGCGCACGTGGCGTAAGCGGTGAAACAAGGGACCCACACAGGTGGTGGTGGGGTAGAGCCCACAGTAGGGCTCGCCGGTGTCGTGTAGTGTGCCCCTTTTCGATCGAAAGATGCTCTGCTCCTTTTGGACCACTCTGGAGTTGATCTTCTCGCCGTCGTCGATCATGAGTTGGTACCGGAATCGTACCGTAGACCCCGGCTCAATCATGAAGGCGGGCCGATGGGAGCCATTTTTTTTCATGCACCTGTGGCCGCATCACAATCATCATTGACACAACCGAAAACGCCACTGAATACGGTACGAGCAAAACACAACTTGTCGCCATTCAGGCTGTGTTTTTCACGCTAGAATTGGAAGTTTGGTTGAAATTGGAACAATGGGATGAAAAAGTTAGAAGTTTATATGTGTAGAAAAGTTTTGATGTGATGTAAAAGTTAAAAGTTTGAAGAAAAAGTTTAGAACTAAACAAGGCCTCAATCAACTACTCCCTCTGTTCCATAATATAAGGGATTTTAACTTTTTATTTGCACTGTTTGACCATTCGTATTATTCAAAATTTTTTGAAATTATTATTTATTTTATTTATGACTTACTTTATTATCCAAATTACTTTAAGCATAATTTTCGTTTTTTATATTTGCACAATTTTTTTTAATAAGACGAGTGATTAAACAGTATAAGTAAAAACTCAAAATCTCTTGTATAATGAGACGAAGGGAGTACTTCTTCGCTCCGTCGTTCATAATATTCGTTTTTTCAACACACGCAAAAACATTTTGCACAATGAAAATGCATTTTTCCTAACCTTTTAATATCCTAAACAAGATTTAGGAGCCGAGAGAAGTACGGAGTAGAAATACTACCTGTCACTGCTAAGTGAGCAAGTGTTAACATCACAATGATCTTTGATGGCACGACTCCTACCTACGCTGGTTTAATTAATTCATAGCTAGCTCGCCATGGTGGCCCCGCCCCTGCATCCGCGCGGCGCAGCCACCCGACCCGAGCAGAGCGAGCAACAAAAAGCAAAGCAAAACAACACAACCACGAGTCCACGAATCTTCCTCCCTCCACTCCACCACCAACGCGGGCACGCAGCGCATTGCTCCGACTTCTCTCCTACTACTATAAACAAGCAGCAGCAATTCGGCCGCCGCCACGCTCCAATCCATCGCAGAATCGATTTCGGTCCATCCATGGCGTCGTCGACGACGACGGCGCCCCCCGTCTCGTGCCGCCCCTCCACGGCGCGGGGGCGGCTGCTCCGCCTCCTCCCCGCGAACGGGCCGGCGGCGGCGATGGAGCTCCTCCCTACCGTGAGGCGGAGGGAGGCGGTGCGGGCGGCGCACGTGCGGCGGATCGAGGCGGCGGCGTGGTTGGGGGCGAGGAGGGCGACCCGGAGGGAGGATGCGGCGGCGAGGTGCGCGGCGGCCGGGGAGGTGGTGGGGAGCGCCGCTGGGGTCGGGAGGAGCGCCGGGATGGAGGTGGCAATCGCCACCGCGGCGGTCGTGGCCATGGGTACGGGGAACCGCGTCCTCTACAAGCTCGCCCTCGTGCCGCTCCGCGACTACCCCTTCTTCCTCGCCCAGCTCGCCACGTTCGGGTACGTACGTGTGCCCATCCTCCTCTTCTCCTCCCTTCGCGCCGCCCCCGGCCATTGATTGATCCGAGATGCTTTCGCTTTGTGCGTTGCTGTCGCGGTGTCTGATCGAATCGAGCAAAGTCCAAAGTGCATTTCAACTTCGAACAGTCGGGATTCATTCTGCGTGAATCATTTCACTCTACAGCCTTTGCGATGGGTGCCTGGTGTTGGGGGTCCACTTGTCTGGGAGAATAACTGGACGAGATTTTTTGCTTGTTAATATCTCAATTCCTGTACGGCTATGCGCTTTTTTTCTGGTGGGTGGTCGAGCTCGTGAGCTGGCCTTCCAGGTACTCGAAAATCCACCCGATTTCAGGATTCCTATTCGCTGCTTGATCACGTCAACTGGTTTTTTAAACAAGTTGAGCATGTGAATTGTTGTTGCGAACCCATTACAATTACAATTGTTGTTGTCATACTCCTAAACTATAATATAAACTAGTAGTACTAAGCACTAAGCAACAACATTAATCGGTCGCAGATAGCACGTGCCTTTGTGACAATGCAGAAGAACTTGAAATTGTAGTAGTACGTGTATGTCCCCCCAAAAAATCCCAATCCTGGGATGTATCTAGACAATGCGTATGTCTAGATACGTCCCCAGTATTGGACCATTTTTTGGGGCGGAGGGAGTACATGTGTGCGGGGCGCTTGCTTACTGTTTATTTTACTTTTTGTTACTAAGGGCCCCTTTGAATCGTAGGGTAGAAAAAACGGAGGAATAGGAAAAACACATGATTCTGACAGGAATTGAAGTGTAAAACAGAGGATTGCAAAACACAGGAAAAACACAGGAATGATCGTTTGATTGGAGCGCAGGAAAAACACAGGAATCGGATGAGAGAGATAAACTCAAAGGAAATTTTCCAAGAGGTTGGAGCTCTTGCTAAATTTCCTCCAAAATCCACATGCAATGTGCTATTCCATAGGAATTTCATAGGATTTGGAAAGCTTCAATCCTTTGAATCAAAGGGCCAAATAGGAAAATTTCCTATAGGATTTAAATCCTATGAAATTCCTACATAAATCCTTTTATTCAAAGGGGCCCTAAATTTTTGTGCTGGGTTACACCCGCCGCCGCCTGTCGGTGTGCTGCTGCAGTGTCATGTCAACTTGTTGGTTTCTGTTACCACAGATTGTGATGGATATATGCCTCGTTTGGTTGGATACGGCACTTTGTCAATTTTTTTTGTTTGATGCCACAAATTTGTTGACCTTAGTATGGCAAGTTTTGGTGAGAGTTTATGACTAAGACGAGCTAGAAATTGTGGTATGACACGAGTGTGATAATAAACCATATGGAGCTAAAGGCTATCCTACTCACGTACGCACACAAAAAAAAATGTTTTTATCATAAATTTTCTTTTAGAACAGATCCACCTGGTTTAATTGTTATGACTTAATGTGTCGTTGTTTCACTATATTTCTGATCGAGTTCATGCACGATGTCCTAACATTTGGCGACTTGCACACCTTGCAAACTGTTGTTTTCTGCAACATCTTTTATCGGGGGAAAAATGTCGGACATAGACAGTGGATGGCTGCAGTTTTTCCTTTATCATTATTCATAAAAAATTTCCATATTTCTTGAAAGCAGATGGATTTCTATTTATAACTAAGTTCAACAGTTCTGAAAGCCTGTAATTCAGGAGTTATAGAAACATTGGCTGTTATTTTTGTATGAAGCCAAAACTCTTTTTCATGTCTAAACTAATCAGTTCTTATATTTAATATGCTCAATCTTATTCAGTATCATGGATAAATAAGTACTTAGGTTCATCTCCGACCTCTGTTGAGTGAATAAGTACTTAGTTTCAACATTTTCCCCTTAGATCCCACTAGAACAAACGAACCAGTTTGATTTTTAAAGAAATAAAGTTGGGCTGCTTTATGCCTTATTTAAATGATTTGCGCAACCATCATATTTAGCCAATTTATGATGTGTTTGATGGGTAAAGTCGTATAATCCACAGATATATTTCGAAATGCTATTTCTTTTTTTTTTCGCTGGCCAGTGGAAGGATGCCGGCTGATTTTATTAGCAAGGGAGAAAAGCCACATTATAGAAATGCTATTTCTTAATTGAAGCTTGAAAACATGAGGTTTACTCTTTTGGCATAACAATAATGTGATGTGGATCTTTCAATTTTGACAGCTATGTGGTTGTCTATTTCTCGATCCTGTATCTTCGCCATCAAGCTGGCATTGTCACTGATGAGATGCTGTCTCTACCACAAAAACCTTTTCTGGCTGTAGGCCTCTTGGAGGCTTTATCAGCAGCATCAGGGATGGCTGCTGGAGGTAATTTCCTTTTTACCAAATACAACTTCCTTTGACTTGCTAAACATTGAATCAAGCATCCATATGCCAATGACAGTTATTTTCTGCTATTATTTTCTCTTCAAGCCCATCTTTCATACCGTGCCTGGGAAAATCATTTTAGTTGCTTTTTGATTCATAACTATACAACATGTTTCTGGTTCATTGATGGGTTTTAGTTCATAGTTCATTATTGAAGTAAAATGTGCTTGTTATGTGATACATGAAGCTTTCACTATGTGCTAACTGTTTGCTTTTTGTTGGAGTAGCCGTTCTTTCTGGGGCTTCGATACCAATACTGTCACAGGTTGAGAACTATCTGTGTTATATCATTATCTTCATTTTATGACATGTAAGCACATTTCTATAATTCGTTTACTACTTTCCTGCAGACGTATCTTGTTTGGCAGCTTCTTTTATCTGCTATTTTTTTGAAGAGGCGCTATAGAATAAATGAGATAACTGGATGCTTTCTTGTGACGGTTGGTGTAATAATAACTGTAGCAAGGTAAAGCTCTTCCCTGATTAAGCGATAATCTCAATGTTGGTTTCTGAGTAGTAAGTACCAGATTTTATCTGCAGCCGTATGCCACAGTGCGACTCTTTTCCTGTTTTTGTACAAGTCTTTCTCGCACTAATCCTCGGATTATTATTATGATTGAGTCCAGAAGACAAGAAGCTTGAGTGTTGGGATATTAACATGCAAAATAAACAACAATGTAATCTTTTTTCATCTAAAAAGGGAAATTTTGTTTGTACTTCAGAGCATGTGGAATGTGGTTGTGTGCTCCAGAAATCCTCAATAAGTATTATCATGTGTGCGTGGGAATTGCTGCATTGGAAAGTAACTCTCATGACAGTTTGAAATGATACATGTGTGGATTCCAAGCATGGAAATCTAGTGAAGTAGTTCCTGTTTTGCATTATTGATACATATTTAAGCATGGCATCATTTTTTTATAAAGCCTTACTTTCTTTGCCATGAACTGGTGGCGGATGATGCCATACGAAATTAAGGTGTTCTTTTATGAGGAAACTTAGTCAAGCTGTATGACCTTCTGTTGATTGATTTATTTGTTAGATAATTGTTGATTGACATACTTACTGTGTTGATATGATCACAAATTAACATAAATATTGCTTTGCCATATATAGTGGATCTAGTGCTGGTGCTTCATTAAAAGGTACTGGAATTTTGTGGCCACTGCTCATGATAATATCGTTCTTTCTCCAAGCCGCTGATACAGTATTGAAGGTAGAGAATCTACATTAATCAAGCAATCAACCATTTTATGTTCTTTAGCAATGAATTCAACCTGATACAATAAAAGCCTAATTGTTTCAGGAGATAATATTTCTGAATGCTGCCAAGAAATTGAAGGTACTGGTTTCTTCCCATGGTTACTCATTCTGCACCATATTTTTTTTGAACATGAGTACATGACAATTTATAGTTATCTAGTGTGATAAATGAAAGCCACGACTCCTTTATTAGTTCTTGTCAGATGCTCTTCTTATCTTAATGCTCTTGTTTTGTTTCTAGGGTGGCTCGGTTGATCTTTTTGTCGTCAACTCATATGGCTCTGCTTATCAAGTATGTTCCTGTTGCATACTAATTTACATGAACTATAAATAAACACCATCAATTATAATGAGTAAATGTACCATTTCAGGCTCTTTTCATGTGTCTCTTGTTGCCATTCTTGTCAAAGTTATGGGGAGTGCCATTCCATCAACTACCAACATACATCAGAGATGGCACCGCCTGCTTTCTGAACATGGGATCACTATCTTCTGGTAATCGTTAAAGTTTGCAACAATTTATGACTGTATCCCCCAATTACTTGGTTCCTTATGTGATAGGACCTAGGGACTTAAATACAGATCTGGATAAACCACTGCTATTAAATAAGAAGTAAATCATGATGATTAACCTCACCAAATTTGTTTAAGAACATATGAACATTTGACCTGTTTTTATGAGTATGCTTATGCTTTATAATTGTTCTTTAATAAAATAAAAAAAATGTAATCATACTGCACAAGCATCTTACTTTTTGTCAAACCATTTAAATTGTACAGGCTGTGAAGGGGCACCACTATTACCACTACTATTTGTGTTGGTTAATATGGGCTTCAATATATCACTTCTACACTTACTAAAGATTTCTTCAGCAGTTGTATCTTCTCTGGCCTCTACATTTTCAGGTTCGCATATTTTCTTTGTGTGCGCCACCTTGTCTCCACCAATTAAGCAAACTTTTAATTTAATTCGTCCTGCACGTTTTGAAGAAATGTGGTGGTTTTAGTTTTTCACATACATATTTCACCATATCTGGTATGTTTTAAGGAGTATTAGAAACTATTGTACACATTACAGAGTGTTATCCAAAGCTTTGAACTGGAAAGCCTTATTATGGCCATACCATACATAAGGTGGGATAATGTATTTACATGTTGCCAGTTACCAATTCCGAACCGACTGTCCAATTTCAGTAACATGCAGCATTCCGTGCTTCTGTGCTCTTCAAGAATTAGATCGCACAGATTCTAAAGTAATATGTTTAGTAGTCGAGCAAATGAGTACTTGTTAGTTACCAATGATACCTTTCATGCTACATGCGTTGCTGCGTTCAGTATGCACCTTGATATGTGTTTATGTTTTAATTTTCTTTTACGCAAGTGTTTATGTTTAAATGAAAACCAATGGTCTGAAAATCTCCATTTCTGAATCAACCATCACCTGAAAAATAATCAATTAATTTGTGTCTTTTCTGTTGCTCCTAATATAAAGAATGAATCTGAAAAAGAAAGACATAGCTACAGGTCGATAAATCATATTGTTTGTCAGGAATGAGGATTTGTGGTGATTTTTTTCTGAGACGAAGAGGTTGTGCTTAGTGATTTTTCAGACTGATGATGATTCAGTTGTAGTCCAGTCTAGTAATTAGAACCAGGGCAAATAAGGATGTTAGTACTCCATATATACCACTTGCTTCTTTCCGTATGGTCGCTCTGTTAACTCCGAAGCTTTTGAGGCGAGGGATTGTTGGTTTTGGAACATGCGCAAAGAGGATGTGCAGATTCTTTGCCAAAATGTTATCAGTAAAAATATTTAGCCTGCCCGTAATGCCTATTAAAGTTACTGAAGAATACTCCCTCCGTTTTTTAAATAGATGGCACTGTTGACTTTTAACATGATATTTAACCATTCGTCCTATTTAAATATATATATATATATATATAATTTATTTTGTTATGAAATGTTTTACTATTAAAGAAACTTTAAATATGAATTATACTTTAGCATATTTACACTAATTTTTTTGAATAAGACGAATGGTTAAACATTATTTCAAAAGTCAACGGCAGCATCTGTTTAAAAACAGAGGTAGTATTTTCCTACCAGGCTACCACGGGTCCATGCCAATGTATGTTCAACCATCATATTCACAGTCCTTTTAGAGCATATATAATTATGCCTATGAAGGGAGAAAAGAAACGCACGCTTGGAAGTTAAAGCAATAAAGTAGGTCGCCTTTAGTCCAGCACAAGGTTGGCAGAAATTAAAGTGATGGTTATGTTGGGTGACCATGATCCCACATAACTGAGTTTCACCATGTCAATTCAAAACTAAGTTTACAAGTAAGTGTGTTAGAAGGGAAAACTGACACAAAACTTAGATCTATAACTTTCTTCTATTATTGTCCCATTATCTGCATGCTTTTAATCTGGTTCTTACTTAATGACTACATGAACCTCCAATATCATTTTGGAACTGGCACTCTTCTTGATGGCTAAACTTCCTGTTTTCGTTTGTTAAGTAACACTGTAAGAAGGCTCCATAAATTTGCACATATCCTGGCTGTTTTTCCAACCTGTGTGCTCCCTTATCAGCAAGGATGCCACTTAGGGCTTCTTCAGAACGTAAGGATCGAAAAATGTAGAATAGGAAAAATATAAGAATTGGGTGGCACATTAACTTGAATCCTATGGAATCTAGAAGACAGGAATTGCTCAACCGTGTTGCTTGAATGCTTCAAGGGAAAACAGTATATGAATTTGAACTTTGAAGAGATAATAGCACAAAGGAAATTTTCCAAAAAAAAAAAAGCAGGATAAGGTCATACCATAGGGACTCCAAATGGCTCATTTCTTTGTTTCAATGGATCATTTAGGATTTTTTTTTAAGAATTAGTGTAGTATTTGAGGGCCTGTTTACCCCGGACCAGTTGCCAATTAGGCCCGGTTCTTTTCTCCAACAAAAGTTGGATAAACTTTTAGATACTCGTGGCACGCTTTTCAAACTGCTAAACAGTGTGTTTCATGCGAAAACTTCCTATATGAAAGTTGTTCTAAAATATCATATTAATCCATTTTTCAAGTTTGTAATAATTAAATCTTAATTAATCACATGTTATTACCACCTCGTTTTACGTGAAACACTTAATCTTTATCTTCATTTTCGGGAGATTCAAACACCACCTTAGTGTTTTTTTAGATAGTGGAATTTATATCCCAGCCTTGACTCAACAGAGTTACTGCCAATTATTAACACCACCTTAGTGTAGCATTGTTATCACTGTTGGGTACTACTGTCTGCTGTTCATGCCACTAGTAGCTAGCCATAGCAGACTGGCACAGCTGAATCCTGATGTTGAAGATAATGCATAGCATTATTGATATTGTTGGGTGTCTCCTGTTCATGTCACTAGTAGCCAACTGAGTCCTAAGGTTCAATATAATGCTGAAAGTTCGACGTATTTGAGTCATAATTTGGCAAGTTATAGGATGAGGAAGAGCACAGTTAGCTTTCCTTTTTCTCGTTGTTTGTCGTTGCCATGTACTCCCTCCGTTTCACAATGTAAGTCATTCTAGTATTCTCTATATTCATATATCTATCTAGATTCATTAGCATCAATATGAATGTGAGGAATGCTAGAATGACTTACATTGTGAAACGTTTCACAATGTAAGTCATTCTAGTATTCTCTATATTCATATATCTATCTAGATTCATTAGCATCAATATGAATGTGAGGAATGCTAAAATGACTTACATTGTGAAACGGAGGAAGTACTCCGTACAAGAAGATGCTAAATATTAATAAATGTAAACTGCAGACCTGCAGAGAGAACTATAATCATTTCTGATGCCTAAATTTCTTGGTGCATGCAGTTCCACTGTCCATCTACGCCTTCACCCTACCGTTGCCGTACATCGGTGTGGCGTCTACTCTCCCTCCTGGCTTTGTTGCAGGCGCCATGGTGCTGACCGCCGGCCTACTACTCTACAGCTTTCCACAGGCACAAAAAAATCCTGGAAATCCTTCACCAGCAGGAATTCCTAGCTAACATTCATTTGTTCATTTTTTTTCTTCCCAGTCTTCACAACCATGGTTCATATATATAGGCTTGAGGCATGGTTCATATAGGCTTGAGGTAGAACAGAAGTTCTCCTGAGGAACCGGCCATCTGCCTGCTGTTGCATACTGTATCATATATCACACGAGTAAACTCCTACCCAATAAGTGTGAGGAAATGCCACACGGATAAGGAATAAGACTCAAAAGAAGGTACCTGATCAACCATCAGGCGTTCTTATTCTGATGTTACTGACTGAAGTTGGGGGATGCCAGTACAGTTTCTAGACGGGACAAGAACCAGGGAGAAAAGAAGGAGCATCATCACGACGGGGATGAAGAGCAAGAATGGCGGCGGCGGCGGTAGCGGCGGCAACACCAATGGGAGCCACAGGAGGATCACCGCCGCCGCCGCCATCAACATCATCAGGACGCTCTTGTCCATCTTGGCCTCCCCTGCAGCTGTTGACTGGACTGCCTCCTCCGGCCGGAGGCTCACCGGTTGCTCCACTCTCCGGTGTTCATGTGTGTTTTGTGATGAGGAAGTGTTGTATGGATGTTTCCAGTGAGAAGTTAACACAGGCCAAGCTACTATATATATGGCCAGCAGCCTGTACACTTTGAATCTAGCGGCAAGAGCGAGATGGTATGTTTACCTCTGTGAAAAAGTGTGACCGTCTGTTTTGTTGCTACCTGTTACCGGTATATACTCGTATTAAATATGATACATCTTAGTAGAACGCTGGCATTTACTTCCTGTAGCCGTCGACTTGTGGGTCCCTTCTCTGGGACGTCGAGGATTCAGGTGGTCCCCGGGGGTGCGGCAGGGAGGCCATGACCCCGACAAGCATCGCGTGATGGGGATCTAGAGTGCAAATTGCAATGCCTCCTGGCAATTGGAGAAAACACCGGCAATCCGGTTGCTGGATTTCAGTATGGCTCAACTCAGTATCTGATTGAAAGGTCGACTTGGGTATGAGTTTTTAGACTTGGCAAAAAAACTCGTGTTTTATAATTTAATTCTAGAAGATAGCTTATGCATAGGTGGGTATATTTAATTGTCAAAGCGTGTCAGTGTAATACAATTGTTCAATCTTTGTTTTGATATGTGCTAGGATGCACATACGTGAGTGTTGTATTGGCGTAAAAGTGTACTAGCATGATGCGTGTGTCTCACTTAACACTCGAAAGAATCCGATCAATTTTAGTTCATGTCTCATGCGTATACATAGATCTTTTTTTTTAAAAAAAAAATTATGGCCCTTTCTTTTTCAAGACAAGATTAAGTTCAACATGATTACTAAATAAAACTTTAATTTGCTTGCCAAAGTCTATAGTCAATTGCAAGGAAGTAGATTTTTAGAGCTCCTTTGGATCAAAGGATTTATAGAGGAAACTAGAGGAATTGAATCATAAGAAATTGTTCCTATTGAGGTTATTTGGTTTGTAGGATTAATTCAAACAAACGAATTTCGTAGGATGGGAAAAGTTCCTTTATATTTTGAAGGATTTCTAGCATAAAGTATATTATCATGTTTTCAAGTTCCTTCTAAGAGTTTCAATGCGATTTGTCTACATCTCTTTCTTCTCTCTAACAAGTCATAATATAATATTAATTTTTCTGTGAGCCATCCAAACATCTATTTAGGCTGTGTTTAGATCCAGGGGTGAGAATTTTTGCCATGTTACATCGAAAATACAGACACACATTTGAAGTATTAAATGTAGTCTAATAACAAAACAAATTATAGAATCCGCATGTAAACTGCGAGACGAATTTATTAAGCCTAATTTATCCGTCATTAGCAAATGTTTACTGTATCACCACATTGTCAAATCATGGAGCAATTAGGCTTAAAAGATTTGTCTCGTAATTTACATGTAATTTGTATAATTAGTTTTTTTCTATATTTAATACTTCATGCATGTGTCCAAACATTCAATGTGACAGGGTGAAAAAACTTGCCAGGAAATCTAAACAGGTCCTTAGGGTGTATATGGTTTTCTTTATTGAAGGACTCAACAAAGTCATGACAACATATTCCTACATTTTTATTATTGTTGTGCTTTCAAAAATCTACGTACCAAAGAAACCCTTAATGTTTTTTTAAATAAGGGACGATTCTACTTATGATGAACTCGAGAAAGACCGGGTGTTCAATCTTGTTTAGACTTGAGCTAGTATCCTACTATCCTATGACACACCTACATGGATGTTTGGGGGATGCAAGTTCATCCCCTATTCCCATCTTCTATAGAGAGGTGACAACATATTCCTACATTTTTACTATTGTTGTGCTTTCAAAAATCTACTTACCAAAGAAACCATTAATGTAAGAGACAATTTTACTTATGACGAATCCAGGAAAGACCTGGTGTACAATATTGTTTAGACTTGAGCTAGTATCCTACTCCCTCCGTCCCAAAATATAAGCATTTTTAGCTATGAATCTGGACAGTGTGTCCAGATTCATAGCTAAAAGTTGTTATATTTTGAGACGGAGGTGGTACTAGCCTATGACACCCACATACTATTCCGTCCAAAAAGAATCCAATCCTAGCAACGAATATGTACATGTAGGATTGTTTTTTTTTTTGACGGAGGGGTAGATGTTTGGGGGATGCAAGTTCATCCCCTATTCTCATCTTCTACAGGGAGGGGTCATACCTATAAATTGAAGACCTGATGCTAAAGATATAATGAAGCCTTCTATTTTGAAAACATCAAAGCTGGGAAAAACAAGCTTGTTCAAGCTAGATGCCTAGATTAGTGAAGGAAGGGAAGAGAAACTTTAAATAATGGAATAGAAATGTCCCGAAACCTATTAGAGGCATGCTTAGTGGAACTTCTAATTGCTGCAGCTTCTCCCAGAATTAGAAGCTCCCCCAAACAGTCCACCTTTTGGTCCAGATTCTGAGAAGTTGTAGTTGTAGAATCTAGAAAATGAACTAGAAGCCAGAAGCTGGCTACCAACCGGCTGCTTCTCAGAATCTTAAACCCTCAAACAGACCCTAGAATCTATATATTGGATTGAATCGAAAATTAAAATTTAGGGACCATAATTTATAAAGCCTGTGCGGCCAGGTACCTTACACTTGCCCACGTACGGTCCTGAGGGAGTAAACTTTTATGGGCAACTCCTGTTTGAAAATACATGGAGGGTGAAAAAAATTTGTTAGGGTAACTGCTCGAGATGCTCTGATGCACACCCTATGTTCCAAAAATTTTATTCGTGGTTTTTCTGTTCAATATTTAATCGTCTGTCTTATTTGAATTTTTTTATAATTAATATTTTTATTATTATTAGATGATAAAATATAAATAATACTGTATACATGACTTATTTTCTAATTTTTCATAAATTCTTTGAATAAGACGAACGGTTACGTTGGATATACAAATCCTAAAATAAATTTATTTTGAGAGGGAGAGGGTATAGTGTAGCAATGGTACAAAGGTTCTCTGTGTTGTGTCCCCTCCATTCGAGGGTGTAGGTCCCAGGTCCAGCAGAGGGACAGGGAAAGATGGGGAGGCCAACTTGCTGGGCATCGCAGCACACATGGGATGCACCGCCCGGGTTAGAGCGATTGGTCCGCGCCGTGCCCCCCCCCCCCCCCCCCTCCTGTCAATCCGCGGATACCCCCCATCAAACCACCGATCGATCAGAGACGGCAGTAAACTCCCTCCGTCCAATTTTAAATGCACTTTTGAGTTTATATGCTCAACGTTTGATCACCCGTTTAATTTAAAATGTTTTTAGATTAATATTTTTATTGTTATTATATGATAGAATATGAATGGCACTTTATGTGTGTCTAAATTTTTTTTAAAAAAAATTAAATAAGACGGACGGTCAAATGTTGGACACAGAAATACATGACTACACTAAAAAGAAACTACTCCATCCGTCCCTAAATATAAGAGATTTTGATTGGATGTGATACATCCTAGTATAACGAATCTAGACAGAAAGATTTCCTCCGTTTCTAAATATAATGGATCCTAATACCACGAATCTACACATAAAGCCTCCCTCCGTCCTTAAATATAAGATATTTTAGTTGGATGGATGTGTTACATCCAACTAATTAAAATCTCTTATATTTAGGAACGGAGGGAGTGTGAGAGTAGCAAGCTGCGAGCAGACACAGTCGACACACCTATCAAATTCGAACAGCAATCTACCTGTGCGAGCAACATACTCGATCGATGGATGGATTGATGATAGCGCATGCAGGCTCGGTCTTTGGTAGCCGGAGAGAGGAGATGATGAGGGGGAGGGAGGGATTCTTCGTTCTCTTTCGGCGTTTTTGGTTTTGGTTCTAGTGTTGGGGGTCACCTCGTACAATAACACAGCAGCAAGTGGGTACTAGCCGCGTCTAGCGCCAATGTCTCCCGTGTCGAACCGAGATTGGCAACAAAGGCTCGGCGTTCAATTGGGAACACGGCATTATTCGTATAGGCACAGTGGGTGGGGAGCTAGCCCCGGCCACTTGGGTTGTACGAGTTCGATGCACCTGCCCCCTGCCGCAAAAGCCCCGCGACACGTCTCAGCAAAAGCAGAGGGCCAAGTTGCCCAAGTTGGGGGCAGCAACTCGATCGGGACTGGCTGAGGAGGACACTGTGCGGCGCTGGCGCGTGACGGCTGGTGTCGCTGGCGACGCGGCAGCGAGCGCGCACGGGCCACCGTCAAGGCCGTACCCGTACGCGCGCGAGGCATACAGATCAGAAGGCTAAAGCTTTTCAGGCGGGTTCAGTTTTCAGTTTCGAGTTTTGATGAGTTGCTCGATCCGTGACACCGGGCCACCGATCGATAAAGCGTGTCGCCTGCGTCTGTGTCCTATCACCTGCGGTTATAATAGGAGTAGGATACACATGCTTAACAGGAGAATTGGTACGTGTGGCATCAATATGCGTTAATCTCTAGCTTAGTGCTAAAATATAACAACTTTTAGCCTTTAAAATTTGTATTAAAATATAACAACTTCTCCACAAATATTCTCTTCTCAATCAATTATAAACTTCTACTCCCTCCTTTTCACAATGTAAGCCATTATAGCATTTTTCACATTCATATTGATGCTGATGAATTTAAACATATATATATATCTATCTAGATTCATTAACATCAATATGAATGTGGGAAATGCTATAATGACTTACATTGTGAAACGGAGGAAGTACCATTCAATTTTCTCACCTACCTCCACTCCTCAACCAATCACAATCTTCTCCACCATTTAATTTTACCTACTTTTTAATAACCGTGTTTAACTCTAAAACTCCTTATATTCTGGGGCGGAGGTAGCATTATATATGGGAAAATATCCAATGAAAACCATCGAAAAAACAAAAACTCGTGAAAATCAAACTTAAAAGTTCTCTAAATTCGTAAATTAACAATGATATAAGTATAGGCATGAAACATATTCACACCAAATCTCGAGTCTGCACTCAACTTCGTTTGAGAGAAACATAAAAGATAAATTTTAGATGAATATTATCATGTCACTATTCATTCAAAATTTGTCTTTACTCCTAAATAAAGTTGAGTTTGAAATTGAGATTTGGTGTGAATGTATTTTACATCTACACCTTATATTTAGTAATTTTTTATGAATTTATAAAACTTTTATGTCTGTTTTTATGGGTGTTTACAATGAAAACCATCAAAGAAGTGAAAACATGTGAAGAACAGACCTAAAAATTATCTCAATTCATAAAACAATTACTCCCTCCGTCTCAAAAAAAAAGACAAACCTTGGTTTCCATGCCCAGCGTTTGACCGTCCGTCTTATTTGAAAAAATTATGAAAAAAATTAAAAAGACAAGTCACGCATAAAATATTAATCATATTTTATCATCTAACAACAATAAAAATACGAATTATAAAAAAATTTCATATAAGACGGACAGTTAAAGTTGGACACGGAAACCCAGGATTTGCCTTTTTTTTTTTGGACGGAGGGAGTACTAGATATAGGTGTGTGTGTATCCATTATATTTGTGGCTATCGACAACACATCATATCTGGTATCAATGATACAAGCGCTTGATCTATATTTCTAATAAACCTAAATACATGTGGACTTGCAAACAACATATATTTGAGCGGAAACACAGCAATTA